TATATTATTATATATATATATATATTTTTTTTTTTAAGCACTTTTAACAATTATTTACAATTTTTACAACTTTTTAAAAGTTTAACCATTGCTTTCAGAAAAAAAATAAGAACATTTAGTGAGATTACACCTGGGCTATGACAATTAAAGAGAATAATTTATTATTATTATTATTATAAATAATAATAATACATAATAAACTATTTTCTGGTCTGGAATGTTTTATTCCTGATTAAAATGCAAAATAGGCCTAAGTGTAAACACATTTTTGAATAAAGATATGGCATATTTAAATATTTTGTGTTATTTGATAAACACCAAAGTGAATAAAAAAACTGAATGGCTGTTTGAAAACATGTAAATACTGTTGACTTCCTTTGACCTCCGTGACAAACAAGCAAGTGTCAGAAGTTGCCATCACTTACCCTTATCTTGCTCACTTTCTTTTCTCTTTTTCCACTTCTCTGCAGTTTGCACCAGTTTTATAGTGCTGCCTCTTCATTTTCAAACATTAACACACTCGACTGAAACTTTATCAAAGTTTTACTTTATCAAAGCATTACTGTCTGAACCCTGACATGGGGCCTCCTTGCTGGCTCTTGACTCTGGTCCGTTGAATTACAAGTTCATTGTGTTAGAAAATAATGCACACCTCGGGTATAATTAATAATTCAACAGCCCGTCGTCAGTTATTCTTTACATAACACGACATTCAGCATTACTGGGTATGATGGAGTGGAGTATGAGAATTATCTAATATGCTAACATTCAAAAGTTTGGGGTTGGTAAATTTTAAAAAATGTTTTAAATGTAATTTGTAATTTATTCCTGTGATGAAAAGCTGATGTAAAATTGCTTATTTGGTGCTCAAGAAACACTTATTATTATCAATGTCGAAATTATTATCAATGTTTCTTCACGATTCTCTGATGAATAAAAAGGTTAAAATAACACAATTTATTTATTTAAATAATCTAAATCGTTACTGTTATTTTTGATCAATTTAGTGCATCCTTGCCAAATAAGTATTTATGTATTTATTTTTCAAAGCAAAAAATAAATAAAAATGTACTGACCACAAACTTTTGAATGTTAGTGTATGCCGGCTCCACATCATTGTTATTCAACAACGCCCTGTGACTTTTCAGGCATTCAGAAGCATGGATTGAGGTTTATTTGCATGGTGTAAAAGCATGAAGTACAATGCGCCAGAGCTACAGGTTATTCCTCCGGAAATGTCTGCATACAAGTGTTTTATTTATTTATTTTTAATGGGACTAATTGACAGAAACAAAATGCTATCTGTTATAACTATTATTGTGTTAAAAAAATCAACCTTCTTCTATTTGTGAATAAACTTGGCAGAATAACAATTTAAAAAGTAATTACAACAGCAAAATCGCATTCACATATATTCATGAGGCAGAGAAATGTGCAAATAGCTTGGCATTTACTTGTGCAGTAAATTACAGCTACAATGTGTTACTTGTGTAATTTGAGGATAGTATTGTAAGCGTACAAAACAGCATATAATATATTCATTCATGCATTTCATTGCATGCGATTCTGAACTGCTGTGTGCATTTGTAAAAGGTTTTGATACTCTCAACTCCACAAAACCAAAACAGGCTGGACCGCAAACATTGTATCGGTCTAGCTGAGAAATTGGTAAACCACTAGTGCAACTGCAGTTTATTCACCTGTAAATAGGACAAACCAGAAGAGCCTCACATTCTCTCTCCTCATATAAAGTATCTGGACACTCTTGACCCCCATTGGCCGCCCGCTGGATGATGATCCTGAATCGTGACTGCGAGGGCATGCTGCTGTTCACTGCACAGTACAAACACAAAGAAAACATTACTTTCACCCATCTTTCACTTTATTAGTATTCTGACAGAGGTTACCACAGCAGGAACAATTCAAAGAGCTCTTTAGATAAGAGGTAATGATATGATTCTCTGGTGGAGTTCACTTCCTGTTCCCTGTATGGATCCTAAGCTGATGTAACGACTTCATTTAACAGACGTTGTAAGGCTCATTACACATCACTAATTACTAAAAGACTGATAATAGCACAATTAAGAAGGTGATTTCAATAACAGAAGACCAAAACAGGGCAAAGCACACTATTTACAAAGGGGATATCAGTTATTTAAAACATTTCTTCAAATGTTACCATTTGATTCAGTTATAATAAATGCCTGTTTATTCCTTGTTTCTTTAGTGGAAGTAATTGTCAATTAATTGTCTCATTAAAGAGTATTAAAACTGTTCTGTGGGTAAGAAAAGTCCCTCTGAGAATGATCTTCACGTATGTGGTCTGGCTTTCACCATGTTTACAGCAGAGGTGTAAGACATCACATCCTAGCAGTCTCGATTGTGTGAAAGTGTAAATCCCTGATTATTTATCAACACACTGTCCTCATGGAGGTTATGAATTCTAGTTTATAATAACAAACTCTGTAAATATTATGCTTTATCTCCTAGGAAAAAAAATTAATTATTAGATAAGAGAGAGTTGGTATGAGTCAAAATATTAGGCAATGTGGTTTTCAATCAAATGAAAGTTGGAATATTCCTAATTCATTATACACAACAGCATTTGCGGAATTTTTATAAGCAAAAATCATGTTTATAGAAAGGCAGTTAGAGTAAATTTAAATGAGGCAACACAATAAACTCTGGTTTATGTAGCTCATTTTTTATTTTTTATACAAAGTCCCTTTTAAAAGAAAGTCAGTTCACTCTGCAGCCATAGCATTGGCTATTTTGAGCAATCAAGCCTGCCAAACCTTTTTTTTCTGTGGATCACAAAAGAAGAAGTTCTTTGAAGAAAGTGAACGCAGGCCTTTCTATCCTAGCGTTTATAATGTCCTTTCAAGAGCTTAGGTCACCAATATGTTCAGCTAATAATAACTTATATTTCAGTCTTTTCAAAAAGTTATTGCATGGCTTCACAAGACAGGGAACATTATGACAGGCACTATGGACCACCTCTACGATACATTTAAGGTGCTTTTTTGGTCCTTTATGGAGCTAGATATACTATACATTACTGTTCAAAAGTTTAAGGTCAGTAAGAATTTTTTAGATTAATTAACACTTTTATTCAGAAAGGATGCATTAGAGACAGTGAAGACACTTATAATGTTACAAAAGATTGCTATTTCCATTAAGTGCTTAAATTCTTTTCAACTTTCTATTCACCAAAAAGTTCTGAAAAAAAAAGTTTCTGCAAAGATATGACACGGCACAACTGCTTTCAACATTGATAATAATAAGAAATGTTTCTTGAGCAGCAAATCAGCATATTAGAATGATTTCTGAAGGATCATGTGACACTGAAGACTGGAGTAATGATGCTAAAAAAATTAAGCTTTCACAGAAATAAATGACATTTTAAAATATATACAAACAGAAAGTGTCATTGTTATTTTAAATTATAGCATTGTTTTTTTGTTATTACTGTATTAAAGGAATTTTCTGTCATCATTTACTCACCCTCAAGTTGCTCCAGGCCTGTATGAATGTCTTCTCATACAGGTTTGGCACAACTTGAGGTTGAGTAAATGATGACAGAATTCTATTTTTTATAGTTTAAACGAAGAAAAAGAAAACATTATTGTTGTATGGTAAGAGTAAAAAAAATCTACTTATGTGTTCTACAGGACAAATAAGAGCACCACATGAGGGTGGGTAAATAAACAGACTTTTTATTTTCAGGTGAAAATTCTTGTACCACTGACATTTCAGTGGTACCTTGTAAGTGAGGTACCACTGAAATGTCACAGCTAAAGGTTGTGTGAAGAGACTGTATCAATACCTGGCAGGCATGTGGTAGGGCAGGCTGTCCATTCACTGAAAGGAGTCACAATGCAATCTTTCTTACAGGGCAGTAAACAGGGCTGAATAGTGTCTGGTCGGGCAGATTCTGGACACCTATGACACACACACACACACACACGCACACACACACACACACACATACGGAGAACAGAGAGAATGTTTTCATGATCAGTGATAAGCTGTCTTGATTCACACTGTAGTCACTTCGTCCTTGACCTTCTAGCATGGGTGCAGATATCATCTGTGCTGACTGTAAGTACTGTTTGATTTACTGTACCCCACAAACCCAGACATTATCATGTACAGATGCAACACAGTTACAATGACACTATCTGTGTAACAGAAGATCACGGCCACATTGTAGGGGAAGTTGATGTAATATTTATTGCGTCTTACCAGAAGAGGCTGCAGCTGATTGTATCTGAGTGAGTATACGGTAAAGGTGAGTTATTTTGGTATGACTGACAGGGAGCAAGAGGTTATGTGAGCCTTTAGATTTCTTAAGAGGGAGAGAGATAAGAGAGAACACCCACACAGAGCTCTCTAGACTGTACTCTCTCATCTAATGCAAAGTGTGTTTATTATTTGGCTCTCTACAATACTTGATTCTGATTGGTCGATCAGTGCTCTAAGGTCACATTTTTGTGTAATGACTGTGTATTTGTCAACCAATTTCGAACATACAATGCTGTGAAAAAAATAGTAAACCCAATTAATTTTTTCCCAACATATGTGGATCATGCAGTACCATTCAAAGGTTTGGGGTTAGTAAGATTTTTTTTTTTTTAAATAGTAAAAACAGCAATATTGTGAAATATTATTACAATTTAAAATAACTGAAAGGTATTAAAATATTATATTTTACACAATTAAAATTTATTCCTGTGATGCAAAGCTGAATTTTCAGCATCATTACTCCAGTCTTCAGAGTCACATGATCCTTCAGAAATCATTCTAATATACTAATTTGCTGCTCAAGAAACATTTCTTACGTGCTGCTTAATATTTTTGTGGAAACTTGTCACTTTTCCCCCCCACTTTTTTATTAAACGCATTCTTACTGACTCCAAATGTTTGAATGGTAGAACTTTATCTTGACAGTATTGATGGGTGACATAACTGAAAAAAATTTGAAAGTTTATAGTTATTTGTCAAACAAAAATTATCAACAGAATTTAAATTGTCTTCTGTGGAAAAAAATATGCACATCCCCCAACATTTACTGTCCATGGGGTGTACTTACTTTTTCATATACACCTGTATCATACATCTCCTATCACTCTGCGGTATCAGTTTCTTCTAACATATTAAAAGAAATGTAACTTAAATCAATATTTCATACATATTAATTTATTTGGTAAACAGCCAAGTCGTAGGCGGGATAGTAAAATTCTCCCTGGTGAATATATAAGGGATCATGTACAGCCAGACGGTAATTTTCACAAAACAAACCCCTTCAGGGTGAAACAAGAGCCATTATTTTGCAATAATGACTGGATGTCTGTACATGATCCCTTACATATGCACTAGGACGTACATCATGCTGAGGAGTTTGTCTCATGTGTGTCCTTGTGAGTGTGAGTGCATGCTTTTGTTTGAGAGCATGTTGTCCCTTGGAGAACGTCCATCCCTATGAGCTGGATTCTGGACAATTCATTTCAAGTCTTGGTTCAATTCCCAGCATGCAGCAGCTCTAAAGGGCAGCAGGGCTCTACCAACTACAGGCTTTGGAGACCAGCAAACAGGACACATCAAAGCAGGGGACAAGAAAGAACAGAGGCATGAATCATCTGTTTCTCTCTCACTTTTGTGCTCTGTGGAGCAGAATGTCATTACAGAGGGCAATCACCCAAAGGCAATGATGCTACAGAGCTTTAGGAAAGGAACAAAAGAGTGGGTGGAGGATAAATGCAAGAAATCAGTAGAAAGAAAGACAGAGCAGAGGAGACATCACAGATGACAACAGGTTGACCCTGTCTTTTCCTCTGTATGGAAACCAAGCACGAATAAAGCATGAGTTTGGATTTTTTCCAGCATAAAATGTAGTATAATTGGATGAGGCAGGTTTGTGCCTGAAGCCGTTCAAAAAGCAAGCATTACGTCTCATGACAAAAGCAATATGATAAAAACACTAGTTAATAATTAAAGCTGATTTCCCTTAAAAGTGTGACTGTGATGAATGTTTTTAACATTTTACTCTTTTTCCTCTTCGTTTCATAACAACACAGCAACTCTGACTCAACCAATGGCATACGTTTGGTGAGATCAATGCCAAATTTTTTTTTTTTTTGCAATTTGGTGAGGCAGGTGGTGCAGAAATTACACATTTCTGTTTAATAATATTAATATTAATATACTAATATTAAAACTATTCTGATTGATAGGGTTCATTACCCTATCCGTTGTAAAACAACAACAATACTAATAAACTATTCTGATTCAAACAGTTCTATCCTATCTGTAGGCAAATTACTTAATTGAATAATTATTATTACAATTATTATTAACAATAAATAATAATGAAAAAAAATTAACACCGTTTTATCATCTTGCTGTTGCCATAGTTTTAGAAAATCAATAATTCACACAAGGCCGTGGATTAAAGTGATTCTATTTATTAAAAGACAAGGCAGGAAATTATGTGGCAGCAGAGAGAGTGTGGAGAGCAGGAGCAGAGAGCGAAGACAGGAAATGATGTGGAATGAGGGGGGAATAGAATCGGAAAAATCAAGCTTAAACTTGCATCACCCCACATTTCATTGGTCCAAAATAAAAAAAATAATCCTGTTCCATATAACTGTAATTTAATAACATTAAATATCCTCTGATTGGCTGAGATCAGCGCTTTCACATTTCATTTGACAGATAAATAGTTGTCAGATAATTGTGTCGCATTGCACCTATATAGAACCTGGTTTGTTTTCCTCTTCATGCAAGCATATCAGGAAAAGAGTATTAATAAAGAAGCAGTCTAGCAGCAGTAAGATAAACAAACATCTCCCTGTTGGGTCATTTCATATATCAGGGTGTTTAAATAGCTCAGCCCTGCTGTTTTAAATAAAGTGGAGAGCTGAACACACTCCACCTACGTATGAAACATCAGCTGCTTCCACATGACGACAGAACACTCGCTATATAACTGATGTTCTGTTCTTGCCTCCAGCACATGCGGCAGGGCACAAGGGATATGATATGTGTGTGACACAAACACATAAATTTACTCACACCATCAAACACATATATGCCATATACAGCACATCCATCTCTGATTTATACTTCAGTACATCTGTGGGTGAGAGCAGGTGTGTGTATGTGTGTCAGATCACTATAAACCAGAGTGTGATTTGTTCTCTCCTGACTGTAAAGAAGCCTAGATTACCAATTCATTTGTAAACACAGTGGTATCTAACAACTCTTTCTCCTTAACACAACGATATGCCTTTTGCTCTCCCACTTTGAACTCAATATAGGGTTTATACTGCAGCAATAAATAAATACATAATTGTTATTAATTAGTATGCCTGTCTTGTTTTTTTTTTTTAGAAAGGAAGATTTGTTTTCAGAGAATATTTGTGACCCTGGACCACAAAACCAGTCTTAAGTCGCTGGGGTATATTTTTAGCTATAGCATTGTATGGGTCAAAATTATTGATTTGTCTTTTATGCCAAAAATCATTAGGATATTAAGTAAAGTAAAAATTAAGATATTTTGTAAATTTCCTACCGTAAATATATTCAAACTTAATTTTTGATTAGTAATATGCATTGCTAAGAACTTCATTTGGACAACTTTAAAGGCAATTTTCCCAATATTTAGATTTTTTTGCACCCTCAGATTCCAGATCTTCAAATAGTTGTATCTCGGCCAAATTATGTACTATCCTAACAACCCTTATTTAAAAGGGTTATTTAACCCTTATTTAAATTAAGCTTATTTATTCAGCTTTCAGATGATGTATAAATCTCATTTTAAAAAAATTGACCCTTATGACTGGTTTTGTGGTCCAGGGTCACATATAAGTTAAAAAAATCCAGATCTTAATGGTTCTTAAATGCATGCATGCAATAAAAATAAATAAATAAATAAAAATCAAATAAGATAAACATATACTTGGTGTCTTCAAAAATCTATGTACTGTTGGCATCATAGGTGCGCTGCAAAAAGTAGATCTTAATTATGCTGCTATCGAATTTGGGGAAAATGCTATTTTTTATTTTATTTTTTTATTTTTTCAAGACATTCCCCCTCTCACAACTGAGGTCAAGCCAAAACCTATTACCAGGCCAATGAAATACACCAGCCCATAAACTCACTTTTATGTTGCTGTCATTAATATAAAAGAAAGAAATGGATAAACGGCTGCATTATTTATGAGTCCTTTTTCCTGATGCGCAACACAATATCTCCTCCATGCAATGCAATAGAACATTTATCTTACCCAAAGCACCATTACAACACTCCCACAGGAAACATTTATGAAGGAAAGACCTAGGGCAACACAAACCTCCAATCCTCTCATACAGAAAAATCAGTCGAGCCTGCATTCAGAGTCACTTACATCATAAGACTGAGAATATTGACAGACTCAATGTACAAGATATGGTTTCAGCACAAGTAAACCAGCAATCTTCTCCTGAGAAAAGGTCAGGGAAATGCGAAACTCTTGAGAACCGTTTTCAGTTTTTACTGTATATTTCATTCATGCTGTGTAAAAGTACAACAAGCTGCAGCAAGCCCCACCAATATTTCTGAATCTCAGCTTCTGCTGCTCGAGCGAAGGTGTTTGAATGGAAAACTATCAAAGTGGGATTTCAGGATTGCGTGATTGTGTAGCAAGAATATGTGAAACACTAATTCCCAGTTTTGCTGTTCAAAGACGCATCCCAGAGAAGCAGCACCTAATAATATCTGCCTTAATTTAGTGCTATGTTCAAGCAAAATGTACATATATTCACAAAAGCTAGTAGACGGAAATATTTCCATGTGAGAAGTACATTATTGACCAAATTTGTGTGTGTGATATTATGCCTCTTGTATTTGAATATTTTAGCAAATGGCTGCAATATAACAAAGAGTGAAAAATGTAAGGGGGTCTGAATACTTTCCGTACCCACTGTATATCTATCTATCTATCTATCTATCTATCTATCTATCTATATATATATATATATATCTGGGAGACAAAATGCTGACAATGTTTTAAAGATAAAGCTATAAAAATGGATGATCCCATAAAGGAAATAGGCTGGATTCAGGAACACTGCAAAACCTTTATGCCAGCACATATTTGATGAGGAAACTGAATGTATTTGACAAGGTGCTTGTTAAGCTGTTGTCATGTTTTTATATTGACAAAAAAAGCATAAGCATTAAAGGCATCACCACATTTTGCTCATTCATACATACACCGTGTCCAAAACCATTCCCTTATTTGATCATTTATACATAGCGAGTGCTACATGCATGTAAATGAGATAAAGTGCAAGAGTGCCTACATCTGTAACTAAATTGTATATGATGTTAGTCACACCTAATCCCAAATTATGAAAAAACAAAATGATGTTCGATATGATCTTACTGTACTGAATTAAGTGCATTTCCTAAATCTGATTTAAATCGAATTTAAAATCACAAAAGGATAGGTTTTCAATTAGTTTTTTTGCTGTTCAGACTACAAACAACTAAAGAGATTTAATTTGGATTTCCCAAAAGAATAAAAAATCAATTCAGATTTTGCTGCCTGTTTGAACAAAGCCTTGTTGCCTGTATCTGACAGCTACAGTAAGTGGTTTATGTTATTTCAAATTAAAAGCAGTGATCACCAAAGACTAGTAAAATACACAATTTCAACTGCTATGAGCAGTGGTGGAAAATCTATGTGCTTTAGTAATCTAACCTCCACAAAATGCCACTGTGAAGACTTTCAATGTGGTGTGTGGAAATACACAAATCTACAGATTAAAAATTTCATACATTAAAATAAGTCACCTTTTGGGAATAACTGGCCCGATGCCCATTTTCATGCAGACCACTTTACGAATCTGCACACCGACTGCACAGGTGGCTGTTCCGTTCCAGTAGCCGGTGCCATTTAGATTCATGGAGGAGTCCTCAATGCATGGTCCCCATGGCGACGCTTCCCAGTAGAACGTGATGCATGGATGATCATTACAAGTTCTCCACTCCTCCAGAGCAGTAGCAGCTGGACATGCCTTAGCTGGGAATGGGAAAGATCATTAACTGCATTACAGAGGGAAAAGCCTCTCTTAAGTTTGCTTTAATGCTCCATAAAATGTTAATGAGCTACATGAGCACAGGAGGCATGAAACAGAAATCTACTGGGACATGTGAAGGCATGTCGAAAGGAGAAATAGGCTGAGCTTTGTTATGTGGTACAAGAAATGCTTAAAAATAATTTAAAAATTGTTCATGATGTGATTTCTGAACCACTAGCAGCATCAAATGAAATTAAACAACAACAACAATGATAATAATAATAATAATAATATTTTATCTCTTTGGTCAGTCAAAGTTTGGTTGCCTCAAACTCAAGCCATTGGTTGAGTTAATGTTGCTGTCTGGTTATTCAACGCAGTGCTAAAAGAGCCAATGTCACAGTGTTGTTATCATTAAAGAAAATGTAAATTCTTAATTGAAATAAAAAAATAAATTCAATTACATTAAATATAAGATGACAAATTGTATGATTTGAAAAGATAATTTGAAATGTTGTAACTGAAATACATTTACATTTAGTAATTTTGCAGACACTTTTATCCAAAGTGACATACAATTGGGGAATACAATCGATTCTGCTTAAAGAGGTAAACAGACACAGGAAGTGCTCGTAATACCAAGTTTCAGGCATTGTTCAAATAAGTGCAAGCTAGAAAGGGAAGGAATAAATAAAGAGAAATATTTTAACTTTTTTTTAGGATGAAGTAAAGTAGCGTAGAAAGAGATGAGTTTTCAGCTGTCGCTTGAAAACTGTTAGGGATTCAGCATTCCGGATACGGGTGGGAAGATCATTCCACCAGCCAGGAATGGTGAACGAGAATGTTCTGGAAAGTGATTTTGAGCCTGTCTGTGATGGTACCATGTGGCAAAAATAAACTGAAAATAACTGAAAACAAGTTTATGTACTAACACTGAAGTAAAACTTAGAAATACAAATAAAGTAAAACTATTTAAAAATGACACAAATTTAAATTATTTATTTTAAAAAGCACATAAAAAAGAACAAAAAAACTTAATTTAAACTAAAATTAAAATGAAAAAGCTCATTCAAAATTATATTTAAAAAATCTTTAATATTACATAAACAATACTAAAATAACACTGGTGTTTGCAGTTTTTTGGGGGAAAATAAATCACCCTCGATGGTGTATATAAAGAATGAACGTAGTATTTTAACAATCAAAATATATACTCATGTTTTAGCAAAATATTGCTATTGTTTAACTTCCCCAACACAGCAACAACAGCTCAAACAATAGCTTGAGTTTACCTCTTTGTCCAAACAATGAAGAACAGTCTGAGAAAATTATGTCATCATTTACTCACCCTCAAGTTGTTTCAAACCTCTATGACTTTCTTTTGTGGAGCATAAAAGTTGATATTATAAGATTTTTATTTTTTTTTGGATGCAAGTCAATGATCACCAAAACTATTTGGTTTTGTATGTTCTGCAGAAGAAAAGTCATACAAGTTTGGAAAGTGCATGACGACAACATTTCTATCCCTTTATATAATTTATTTAACCACATAACAGTGTAGAATCTGCCATCAACCATAAAATCAAATCAGCTCATCTCTATCAGCCAGAGTTTCAATGTCGTTATCAAAATTTCCTCGTACTTGAAATCAACTCAACATTCTACACCTGAATCAGAAAACTGAATATGTATCCCACACGTGATGCAGGAACACCTGTGACAAGTTCTCTGGGATCAGCCTCCAAAATTACTTCTGCACTTTCTATAATTAAAAGTAATTCCTACACCATCTGCCCTTGAAGCTAATGACATTGTATTGACATTCAGCCTTTCTCCATAACACAGGGACTCATTATGAGTGTAACACAGACTGGCTGAATATTAATAAGGGCTTGTCTGATTAATGACACTCGGTAGATGGTGTGTAGAGGCTGGGGCTTTATTTCCATTTTCCAGATGCATGAAGTGGGCAGAAGCAGTCTCCAGACAAAGGTATATTTAAGTCTTAATTACACAGCTCTTTCTGTCATTCCAGAAGGACTGTGCGTGATTGGAAAAGCCCACAGCTGTATGTAGGCAGACAGAAAAATGAGACCCTGTGAACACATTTTTATCACTGATCCTCTGAAACAAAGAATGCAAAATTGCTCGTCCACTCACAAAAACAAACTGATTAATGGTGTCACCCTCAGATGATAATAAATGAAAAATGTGTCCCTTGTCAAATCAATATCACAGCATTAAATTATCTGTTTGTTTGTTTTCTCATTTTATAAATATTTTTATTGTAATAGATAGGAAGGTGCAGAGAGTCTGGAACACGGTGGGAATGAAAGAGGTTAGGAAGTGACACATGCAGGCCAGACTGCAAGCTGTATCACCATGTCACACGCTTTAATTAAAAATGAATTGGTCAGACATTTGTAAAAACATTATTATCCAATTTCTGTGGAAGATGAAAGTCAACTGACCTTCTCCCGGCAAGCCTAATATGGTCCGTGTGCGGCTTTGTCTGCCCTCTGAGTTTTTACTGGAGCAGCTGTGGGAGCAGGAGGACCAATCAGACCATGAGCTGAGCACACAGTCACCTGAACACGCCATCATGCAGGACACCTCTTTAGGGGGCGGCTCATCTTCACAGAGCTCCTCAGGAACAAGCTGCCCTGTTCAGTGGAGCACGACACAAGTTGTAATGTCACCATCTTTACTTGGTGTTCAAAGATATAAGAGGTTATTGTTGTTGCTTTACATTTCTTTACTGAAAGAATGAAAAAAAAGAGTTATACTGGCCATTATCAACATTTACTATTACAATATACAGTATATTGTAATATACAACATGTGTATAGATTTTACATTTTAAAATCTATTAAAATACAAACCAGTTATTCTTATTTGTAATAATATTTAACAATATATTTTTTTATCAAATACAGCATTAGTAATCATAAAAACATTTTTAAAGAACATTTAATACAAATCCTGCCAACCTCAATTTTTGTACATTAGTGTATACATGAATAATATTATATAATAATAAAAACATATAGCTGAACACACACACACACACACTTTCTGTGGCCTGAATGTTCTGTAGATACTGCCATTGGCCTTGAAAAACTCATATTATTCAACCACAAACCCATGGTACCTTTACAAGACAGAAATTCAATGCACTTGTGCATTGAGGTGGAATAAGCCATTCAATGAAATAGCTACATAACTCAGCGTTACAAGAGTAAATCATGATTATTGTGAGGCCCCCATTATAAATGTGCTCATATTCAGCGCTTTCATCTTTTTAATGCAACTTAGATGAAGACAAAGTGTTTTTTTTCTCCAAATAAGAGATCAACAATTGTGATTCATCAGCCTTTTTGTGTTCAATCACTGAAATGGGAAACAAGAAAATAGAGGGGGCAATTTAGATTTCAATATGATGAACACAACCAAGTCCTCTAATATTCTGAAGACACTCCAAGGACTTAAGACAAGCCTGTCAAAGCTACAGTTGCATATCACATTGTAGCAATAATGCCATCAATTTCTCTATAAAAAAGGATCTGCTCTTCAATCTTCAAACAAATTAACCAACGGAAATATTTGCTTTGTGTGCTGCCGCTGATTTTACTAATGACTGCTCGATAAGATGGGTAGAATTATTTTTCTTTTCGCCTACAGAAAGGAGGATTTGAACAGGAAACGGTATTTGAGAGGATGAACCAAAGGCCATTTAATTTATTGGATGCCAGTGAGCTATCAAAAGACAGAAGAGAAAGAGAGCTGCTGTCTGCTGAGGTTGGTGAGAGGGAAACTCTCATTTCATGCATGAAAGAGAGACATTAATCCTTCCATTCACTTCTCTAGGATTACACAAAACTGTCCTATAATGATTAAACCCTAAAAAACATCCCCAACAAACAGGCGCACACCCAATGGATCATTTTCCGGAAAAGTTTAAATATTGAATGAGTGAAGAACATCAGCACTCATGACGAGGCGTCATTATTTCTGTTGAACCCTGTCATTCACTTTCAAACACACAGTTAAGCAATAACAACCCAGGGGCAGATTTGTTATGTATTTATTTTCCCCCTTGCTGTAACTGCATCCATGTAAAGAGGCTAAGAACGTGAGATGGGTGATGTTCTTGATCCAATGAGGCATGGATGGATATTCCCCAAGGCGAGTCTCCAGACCTTCGCCTCCAACTTTTAGCACCAGGCTTCTTGAGTCATCAAAGCAAAGGGGCTGGCGAGGAGGGGCTGTAGGCATGTTCTTGGCAATCAAATTGGTGGCCACGTGACCCGGACGTCAATGAGTTTGAGGATAAGTGTTGTGCGCATGAGGTGGAGGACCCCTGAGCGCAATTTAAACTGCAGACAGAAACCTCCATTCATCCACGCCAAGATCTCTACATCATGAAAAGATGGTTTTGAAAAGGAGGTATTTAGTCTATTCTTGAAACTGACATCAGGGATCCAAGATATTCAGGAGATTTATTGACCACCTAAAACAAGTGCATTAGCATTTCTACTGGCTCCTGCAATTCAGAGAAATATCAACAAAAGAAAGTCAGACTACCTGCATCAAATTGTGACACGATATAAACATTATATAAACTACTTTTCAAAAGTTTGGGGTCGCTAAGATTTTTGAAAAGTCTCTTATGCTCACCAAGTTTGCATTTATTTGATCAAAAATACAATAAAACCAGTATATTTGAATATATTTTAAAATGTGATTTATTCCTGTGATGGCACAGCTGAATTGTCACATGATCTTTCAAAAATCGTTCTAATATGCTGATTTGGTGCCCAAGAAACATTTTGTTTATTATAATCGATGTTGAAAACAGTTGTATCGCTTTAAGGGTTAGTTCACCCAAAAATGGTGAACAAATTTTGTCATTAATTACTCACTCTCATGTCGTTCTAAACCCGTAAGACCTCCGTTCATCTTCGGAACACAAATTAAGATTTTTTGATGAATTCTAACAGCTCTCTGACCCTCCCATAGACAGCAATGCAATTACCACGATCAAGGTCCAGAAACGTAGCAAGGAGATCGGTAAAATAATCCATGTGACATCAGGGGTTCAACCGTAATTTTACGAAGCTACGAGAATACTTTTTGTACACAAAGAAAACAAAAATAACGTCTTTATTCAACAATTCGTCTCCTCCGCGTCACCCTGGTGCAATTTTGGAGAGTATCCACTGAACGTAAACAACGTATTCTATTCTGTGTCAGCTGTGTCACGTGGATACATTGTTTTCATTCAAATCAAAGCGTAAACAACATAGAAAACGTATCCGACACAGAATAGCATATGTTCAGTGGATACTCTCCAAAATGACACCAGGGTGACTCGGAGGAGACCAATTGTTGAATAAAGTCGTTATTTTTGTTTTCTTTGCGTACAAAAAGTATTCTTGTAGCAAAAAAAATGACAGTTCAAGAGTCAGAAATAAAAACTAAGCAGCGAATGTTTTCATTTTAACCAACTGCACAGGGCTGTTATTCTCCTCTGTTATTCTGAATTATGCACAAACTGTAATATCATAACAGCTGCTTGGCAATTTGCACACCTAACTATAATATGTTAAATTGCAGAAAGAATAATGCCAGAGCTCCAAATAACAGCTCTGACTTATGGGTCATATTGCAGGCATCAAATGATTTCAGCTTCCCACCTCCCTAAATCTATCCACTTCCCCTCTGTGATACAATATATCAAAAATAATTGTGAAAGTTTGAAAGGAACACTTTGCCCCAGGAGAGCTGGATGAAAATGTGCATGCAGATTGGGGAAATTAACCTTAACAGCCCACACAGAGAGCAAAAAGCGCTGAAAGAGCCACATCTTCCTGGCTGAAATCTCTTTGGCTCACTTGCAATTAAAAGGAGAGAAGAATAAATAAATAAAATAGTGCTGCTTGTGAGCGCCCCTTAATCTGTGCACCATTTCATGCAACGCTGTTCACAAAGTACAAAACCCTCTATTTAAAAATGAAAGAGTAGGAGGGAAAAAAGAAAAGAAAAAGAAAAAAGCAACAACTTTAAGTTAATCCAGCATTAAAATCTGAACAGAGCTGAGACAATGTCATAACTGGTACTGATAACAAGAGTAACACAAGACCTGTTCTCAGATCAGTTCTCAGTCAACACCTCCTCCATATGGATGAAAGTTAGGCTGATTCATCATTCATTTTTCAGAGGCAAGGACAAACTTGTTCATTTAACAGCTCATAGGGGATTGCAGTAAATAATTTTTACAGTCTGAGAGAGCTGAAATTAATTTCTAAAATTCTGAATCAAGTAATAATAATAATAATAATACAATTTTAAAACTTTCAAACTCTTACAAAAGCGAGGTTGAAATGTAATTTTTAAATTAGCGGCACTAACAGAGGCGTGGCTAAAGCTGTCCACACAATAGAAGATGAGTACAATTAATTTTAGCTTAGATTAGACATTCTCTAGTTGGCTACTGGAATGAAACTTTAACAATCAGAGCAGCATAACATGGCTCAGAGCAATTTCAGACAAATGAGCTAGTCTGTGCGGGTTGTTTTAAAAACTACCAATATAATTTGCATACCTATTCTCACTGAATGAAATCTTACCTTTAAAAAACAGATAAAAACACAAACACATTTAAGGTGAGGACACCACTTTTTGTCACGGCCAATTTTGTCCCCACCACTTAATAAGAGTATTTCTTCTGTTAAAAATGGAAAAAAAATAACTTGCGGCAGAGATGTATCTAATACAAAGGAATTGTTGAGCAGTAGTTTCCTTTTCATTACAGTGTGTTAGCCTGATAGCTGCAATGTCAGCTTTGGAATTTGAAGTTCCTCTGTGTCTTTGCTGTGGTTATATTTATTGCTGGATCCTAATATATAGAAATGTTCCCTACTGCACAGCCTTTACCCACACTGTTGAATAAACATGTACAACTGCAACTTATATCTATATACATATATATATATATATATATGTGTGTGTGTGTGTGTGTGTGTGTGTATTAGGGTATGTCGATCATGGATCAAATCGATCCACCATGACAAACAGCGAATATCTGTGCTGTTTAATGCATTTGAGACGTTGTGTTTTCCTCAGTGCATAACTGACATGTCACAGGTATATTTTTCATCTGTAAATGATAGAAAGTCATGCAAACATATCCATTTTGATCTCACCTTAGTCTTGCCTTGTCTGTGTTCTCGTATCTTGAGCTTCGCCTGTGTCTCTCGGATTCCTCCTCTCGTCTTGCCCTATTTTGATACTGGATGCCCCTGCCTGGACCTTGCCTTGTACCTGGACTTATCCCTCGAGTCTCGCCCCTTTGATTCTGTTTGCCGATCATTGACCTCCGCTAGCCTTAGGTTTATTCTTGTGTCTTGCCTGCCATATACCTGTCTGCCATTATCTGACCCATGCCTGTTCTATGACCACATCTCTGTCTTCTGCTAATAAATAGCTTGCACATGGATCCGCACATCTCAAGTCTTGTCAGCCCCGTAACACATATATGATAGCAGTAACTGTAAGTGGACTATTGTAATAGGTAAATCAAATGTAAGCTAGTAAGCTACAGTATAGGCTACTAATTACTAAGCTCAAATAAGTTCATGTGTGTTTCTTATAGTAGTTAAAATGTAGTCATTTTCTTT